CACTGAACATAAACATAGGAGTCATGTGAATGTTTTTATTGTTGACTTTAGCTCTACAGACTTTTTGTTCACTCGTGAAAATTATAATTTTTTTGCCTGATACATGTAATAAAATGATTATATTTTTACCCAATCTGTATATTTTCAGAATGAAAGAGAACAGATAATGACCACAAATGTTTGGCTCACTCAGGTAAGTGTGATAAAGCGCACATTTCCATTGTCTCAGACACTCCGTGTCTTCCTAAATGTCCTTCTCTTGAACTTGAATTAAACCATGTCCTTTCTTTGTCTTCCATTGTGAAACCAGCTAATTCTGTAATTGTGTTTTAAATATATATTCACTGATAATGAGGCATGTAATTGAAAATAAATTGGTATTTTGGAAGTGTGATGAAACCAGAGCCACGACGCGATCTCTGTCTCTGCAGCACTGGGTTGATTACAGATTATCATGGGACCCTGCAAAGTACGAAGGTATCGACAAGCTGCGCATTCCATCCAGACACATTTGGCTCCCAGATATTGTGCTGTACAACAAGTAAGCATTTTGGCCAGATTCTATTTTCAACACGTTCCTGGTGTTTATAAAATATGAACATTGTTGAGAGATTAGGAGTTTTGGATAATGACTTTTTTAAGTACAATCTATGAAGTCTCTAAAGTCTCTTTTCTCACTCAATAGCCATTTGTCTTGATCAATTCCCCCCCCCCCCCCCCAAATTATTCTCTGAAGTATTTTTCATAGTTTAGGTATGATAGAGGTTTCAGTCTTTCCTGTATCATGGTTTGATTGATTGGTGAAGTTAGAGCATTGGTTCTCACAAGTGAAACGTAGTAGCTTATATTAACAGTGCATGGACAACTCATCCCTCAAAGGTCAATTGACAAGATGTTCTGGTGTTTTATTCTCTTTCTGTTTTTTTTTTTCAGTGCTGATGGAACGTATGAAGTTACTGTCTTCACCAATGCCATTGTTCTTTTCAATGGCAGTGTCAACTGGCTTCCTCCAGCCATCTATAAAAGTGCCTGTAAGATCGAAGTCAAGCATTTCCCCTTCGACCAGCAGAACTGCACCCTTAAGTTTCGCTCGTGGACTTATGATCACACGGAGATCGACCTGATCTTAAAGTCGGAGGTGGCCAGTATGGATGATTTCACCCCCAGTGGGGAATGGGATATCTTGGCATTGCCAGGCAGACGAACTGTCAGCTCTCTGGATCTCACATATGTGGATCTCACGTATGACTTTATCATCAAGAGGAAGCCTCTTTTCTACACCATAAACCTCATCATCCCATGTGTTCTCATCACCTCCCTGGCCATCCTGGTTTTTTATTTGCCCTCCGACTGTGGAGAAAAAATGACTCTTTGCATTTCTGTCCTTCTGGCTCTCACCGTCTTCCTGCTTTTAATCTCAAAGATTGTTCCTCCCACTTCACTGGATGTACCACTGATTGGCAAGTACCTAATGTTCACCATGGTGCTGGTGACCTTCTCCATTATCACGAGTGTGTGCGTGCTCAATGTGCATCATCGTTCTCCAAGCACCCACACCATGCCCTCCTGGGTTAAGATAATATTTCTTGTAAAACTGCCTGCTTTACTTTTTATGAGACGCCCTCACAACCACTCTGCACGTCAAAGACTCCGTCAGCAGCGGTGTCTACGAGGGAGGAGATCCATCTTGGGTTTGGGTCATCCCGGTGTTGCTAAAACAGGTTTCACCTTGTCTTCATCAGCCCTCCTGTCCTCTGACTCTGCCTTCTCCACTCCAGGACACAAAAACGTTGCTTCACCAATGGGACACAACAACAGGAAGGGGGACTTGCGGCCCACTGATTACCCTTACTGTGGCTTCACTTCCACCCAGGACCTCCTGCAAAGAGCCAACTCGGATTGGGCTGCTGATGTCCAGGAGGCGGTGGATGGGGTCCGCTTTGTAGCTGAGCACATGATGGGAGATGATGATGATCAGAGTGTACGTATACTAAATAAAACCATATATGTTATACGATTATATCCATTTAGTGCTATGTAAACAGGTCATTTCATTTTACTGATTAACAATTGCACATTTGAAATTTATAAATGTTTTAAAAGTTTATCAAATACCCTTGAAGATCTTTTTATGGACTTGAGTCAGCTCAGCAATTTATTACATCTAGGCCTGTCACAATAAGAAATTTTGCTGGGCGATTAATTGTCTCAGAAATTATTGCGATAAACTATAATATTGTTTGAAATTTGACAATAATTAACAATGTCAAATTTAAGAAGAAATGTTGGTAAATTTTTGTGTAGTACCTTTTTTAACCACCAGATGGCAGTATAAGACTTTTTGAACTGAAGGATGGATAGTGAGGGAGTGAGCAGTGTGTCTCTTTAACAAAAATGGGAGGGAGGCCACTTGACATGACATGGGCTGTCTCTTGTTCCTGATTTTCGGTCCTCAAAATGACGCTTGGTGTGGTTTGAGCTCTTTAGCATAACATTTTTCACACAAAGTCTTTAATAAAAAAATCGGGAAACAAGTTCTCAGCTTCTCTCTGCAGAGAAAAACAACTTTTTACACTAAAGCACGAGTTTCAACCGTGAATTTTGTAGCTTCGACAAGACGGAGGTTTTTTTTTTCCCCGAGGTCGGCCTGTTAGCTTAGCTCATAGTGTAGCTTCTCAGCTTAGCTGCTTTTAACAATCCAAAAACGCGATTTTGTACAGTTAAAATGGATTTTTAAAAGAAAAGAGAAAGGGAGGGGTCAGTGAAGAGCACCAGAGTTGAGCCTTTTGTCATCCAGTGTCTTCAGTAGAAAGAGACACGAAGAAACGATAAAGCCGATAAATGAAAATGAGGTTGATAATTTTCATTTATCATGCAATTAATTGATTAATTGATTTATTGATTTATTGTTTATTGCGACAGGCCTAATTACATCAACTACACAAGTCTTTTTTTTTTTTTAAGTCAACCAAGAAAATACATTTAAATATTTGCCAGAATACACAATATGTGTCAAGTTTATTTCAGTGACCAATTAAAAATGGCAAAATGTCCTTAAAGGAATGCATATCGCCTTTCTCCTTGCATGCCACAGTTTCAAACTAAGTAATCTAAGTACTAAGTATTATCTGTAAGCGCTTTTGAGTTTGTGAGTGACTTCCAGCTATCGTACCATAGCTTAACGTCAGTAAAACTGACTGAGTTGTAGCTACTTACAGTATGTGTTTGCTACGTTTACTTAGCTGTGGTGGCCATCTTGATCTGGTTGATTCCAAAAGCTAACCAAGTGTGCATGTACAGTATCCAGTGATTGTTTCTGAGAATACCATTAAAATCCAACCAGTGGTTTATGGAATCGTTTGCTAACAGATGGCCAAACGCAGACAGACAGACGTAGTCTCTTGTGACACTTGGAATGAGAGAAAATGAACACATTTAATAATTTGTTGCTCTGAACTGATTATTTTACTGTCAGATCAAACCAGGCGTTGGCTAAAATTTCACATTCAGGTTCTATGCCACTCTGTTTGATCTATGGTATACAGTATATTTAGATATTTGAATATTTATTGTATATCTAATCGTGGCCTTTGAGATGCAATAAGAAATACAACTAACCTCAAATTGTGGTTGAGTGTCCAGAGTTTGGTCAGTAACCTAATTAATGACAGTTCAATGTGTAAGGAGGGAACAAGGATTGAGAGATGACTTGTCTTCTAGGGCAGTGGTTCTCAAACTAGGGTCCCCGGACCCTTGGGGGTCCGCAAGCCAGTGCTTGAGGGTCAGCAAAAATAAATATATATTTTTACAAGCATGTAGATGTTTAACAATCCATTAATCAAAATGCAGGAAATCGTATCTGCTTCATTCAAAAATTTCTGGGGGAGGACCCTGCGCACGCGCTATTTGCGTTGATTTACAAATTAAGCTGTTAATGATTCTGTTCAGTTTTATGTAAAGAGTTTTCTGTAATGATTTGAAGAAGTGGCAATACATTTATGTTAATTGTGTGAATAGGTAAAGTTTTAAAGTGCTTTTTGATACAGTTAATTTTCTCAAAACTGTAATTTTTGAAAGATGAAATAAAAAATGTTGTTAATTAAGTGTGTCTTGAATGAAAAATACCCCGTGTTTAAAAGTATAAAAATTCTATTAACTCTATTAAAGACACAGTTCTTAAGTATTGATGTTACACAAATATTTCCATTGCATTTAAGAGACAAACTGAAGAAAAATATTTAATAAACATAAGGGTTATGAGGGGGGTCCCTGAACCCAAAAGGTTTAAGAACCCCTGTTCTAGAGAAGCTCTGACAATAGAGTGAAAGGGTTAACATACTGTAGATGCCAGTGTAAGTCTCACAATATTCAGTCATACAATGCATTATGACATACTTTAATGTGTATTAATTTTTATTATCATTTAAATTTTAACCCTAAAAAATATAATGATAACTGATTTTCTTGCATTTCTGTGATTTTGCAGGTAATAGAGGACTGGAAATATGTGGCCATGGTGGTGGACCGTATGTTCCTGTGGATCTTTGTCATAGTGTGTGTGGTGGGAACTTTGGGCTTGTTTCTCCAGCCAATCTTCCAAAGTCAGATTATTCCCAACCAGCATCCTATTTCGGAGACTCCTCGCATTTGATGATAGAGGGAGATGAAGCACTTTCAGGGTCCTCATTAAAGCTCTTAGGATCACGTTCTGCAATTATGAGGGCATCAAACAAACAATTATTATTATTATTTTTATTTTATTTTTTTGCTGTAAAGGGACCAGAAAAACATCATTTTCCTCTCTATGCTACAAACAGAATACTGCTGGGAGAACACAATTCCTCTTTCTTTAAATAATAACTAAACATAGTGGCCTAAAAGAAATAAAGCTGCTCATGCGCTATGAAAATTTAACATCTGCAGAACACAACAACTGGATCGAACTGGGATGTGTTTTACTGCTGCGAAGTGTTAAGACCTATTGCAAAAATATATCTTGTATGACACAAATATGTCTGTATAGTAAAACATTGTTTACCTCCTAATTTTACTCATTTGTGTTACTGTGTTACTGAAAAAAAGCAACAATAAAGACAAATCTCTGTCCTCTTTTAGTCTGATTAAATGTACAAAGCGGCTGACAAAAGTCTTAAAATTGTCAGGTTCTTGCCAAAGTGCTTTGTTAATTTGTTTCGTAGGTGATGAAGTTTGTTCTCTGAGCCAATATGCCGGACGAAGAAATGCCAGGTAGGTTATTTTATTATACAGATAAGAAAACCAATCACTTTAAATGTGAGAATGTGTGAGCAAAGACCAAATGTTGATACAACAGAACTGCTGAAGACGGAGCTGGTCTTGATTATGTCTTCTTTCAGTAATTAATGTTTTACCGTTTTAGGTTCAGCTAGCTTTGTGTGAGTTTTCTCCGATAATTGTGTCTTATTTGTGTATTTACGTGACTTAATTTTTAGTAATTGTCTTTTTTTGCTAACAAGTGCAAGCACACTACGATAACACGCACACATACAAAGATTAACAAAGTTCACACGAACACATCTTCAGCCAGAGTCCTGGTTTACTGCTTAATGAACTGCTGAGCGTGCTCGTTAGAGATCCTGCAGACTGTCGGTTCCTTTAAATCTACAAATGACAATCAGCATTTAGTGGTAAAGATCAAATTTACTGCGCTTCACCTTTAAGTTTCAAACGTTATTTTGTTTTTTTTATTATGGGTATTTATTCTCCTTGTAATTTCTAAATAAATAAAAGGTTTGTAAGCTCAATCATCCAGGTAGATAAATACAAAAAAGGTTCAATCGTGTCATCTGGACACGTTTGTTTTAGGGAAAAATGTTTATTCTTTCTTCTGAAAGACTTCATCAGTCTGCGACCTGCCAACCCAGATCTGTCTTATAAATAGCGTTGTGATGTGTTCAAGTTCAAGAATCTTTATTTTCCCCGAGTGGCAATTTGTTTCAGTCAGTAGGCACACAAAACATCCATAAAACACAAGACAATAAGACATTAAAATAACAGTACAGAAACCATCACTGTTTGTTGAGAAGCCTGATCGCTAAAGGGAGGAATGAGTTTTTCAGTCTGTTCATCCTACAGCTAGGCAGCAGATACCTGCATCCTAAAGGAAGCAACCTGAACTCATCATGGAGTGGGTGATCAGGATCTGCCAGAATCAGCCTGGCCTTGTTCACTGCCCTCACCATCAGTGAGGTTCTGTCTGTAGGTCTATGCCAGCAGTTTTGCTGCACATCCTCACAACACATCCTGTGTTTCCATCCAGCCTCCCATTGAATTCAGAGAAACTGGCTTTAACAAATGCAGACATGGACCATCCGTCCAAAACGATCAATCATCATGCATACCAACCTAAAATAAATGTGTAATTTCTAGTTTTGAGTAAAGGGATGTAGTGCAGACAAACACTTAAATCAGCCACACGTTTTAAGTCAGAACTGTCCAACTCATGTCAAATCCAAATGAAGGCTCTGCGTTATTTGTTGTGTTTTTGTAAACTGTATGTCTCCAAAATGTAAGCTCGTGTAAGCATAAGCATTTGTATAGGAGTTATAGTCCTCTTGGAGGACTAAACCAATTAAAACCTCATTTTATGATTTCTTTTTTTTAATATCACAAGCTTTTGACGCTCATTATTCTTTATCTGGAAGTTTAATCTTTGGGGCGTGGTGGCGCAGAGGTTGGAGAAGGTGGGCCTGTGATCGGAAGATTGCCGGTTCAAGCCCCAGTACCGACAACATCAAAAATGTGGGTAGGGTAGGTGAAGCACCCACACCTGCTCCCACCCGCATTCGTCCCACTCTGGGCCCATGAGCAAGGCCCCTAACCCCCATCTGCTCCCTAAACAGGTCTCTCTTGAAAATGAGTAAATAAAGGGTAAATGAAAAAAAAATTCTACTCCTTGGATGTCCAAACATTTTCATAGTTGGGCCAGAACTGTGCAGATGAAAGGACTTTTGGGCCAGAAAAATGTGAATTTAAAAAGATTAAAAATAAATAAAAAGCATGACACCCACACCCTCACATTTTTAAACTTTCAACAACTTGAACAATATTTTGGAGAAAGGTTAAACGTTTAGTGTAAATTCATGTAACTCCAGAACATTAGGAGCCTCAAAATTAACCTTTATTTTAAGAATTTAATTTATAAAAAAAATTAGATTTATTATTTGTTACCTTGTGCTTAGAAAGTTCATTTTCGCTTATTTTCAAAGACAAAAGCCTAAAATGAGTAACTGTTCATTAAAAAAGGGGGTGGAGCTTCAATCCCCTATTTGGACCATGGACGGCCCAAATGGGTCATCAAAGTTCTGAAAAACAGCTGGCAGTTGCTAAAACAGACTCAATGAAAGTTTTGAAGGGACACTAAAGTTGATCAACTTGTATGTCGATGATTCCAATTTATATTTCTTCAAAAATGTCCAATTTCTCCCCATCGATTATTAAATCAACTGAAATTATTTCCTTTGTAAACATTTGTTAAATTTAGCAAAGTTTTATGAATTATGATCAAAATTATACTTTTTGGTAGGTCCGTGAAGGTTTGTTGTAAGATATATGGATTAGTTATAGCTAAATGTTTGTATTATACTTAATATTGCTCATTTTGAAAAAAAAATATTTAATCTGTTTTGCTGTTAAACCTAATTATTTTAAAAGCATCATCATTAAATCTAAAGATGATCTACATCTGTATCAACCTTTAAAGCCTGTGGGTCAAAATTATACCAATGTTTAATTTCAGTCGGGGCCGCACAATATCACTCTATGGGCCGCAAATGGCCCTCGGGCCACACTTTGGACACCCCTGATCTACTCTAAAGACTTAGCCATTCAAGTGGTTGAACACTGGTTTGTTGTGGGCTAAAAACCCTTTGACCCCCCCCCCCCCCACCCACACACACACACACACACAGAAAAATGGAAAATATCAAAGGCTCCGTCCCTACCATTGTATTTTGAATGAATGAATAAATAAAACCCTGGAGAGTTTGTCACAAAGCAAACTAAAGTGTGTAAATGAATAATAGAATCCAGTATGCAGATGGCTATCCAAACCCCAGTGGCCCAGAGGCTCGCGATTTAATATTTAATTTAAGACGAATGTTTGTGAGAAGAAAGCCCAAGTGGAAACCACCTGGCTCTGCTGTCAGAATTAAATATTTGTTTTGCAGAGCCCAGTCCACTTAAAAGAAAAATCTTTTCATTTGCTAATTAGCTCACAATCTTTCTGTTTTTTCCTCCTACCTTGAGTGCAAATTTGAATTAGATCACACCTCCCTTTGTTTGATTTGATTAGGTGGCTGTAGGTTGCACATTTGCTCCTCATGTGGCTCCTCTCGGTGACTGGCTGTGTGTTTGAGAGCAGCTCTCCCTCCCCCCCCGCTCTCTGCTTCTGTCTGCAGCAGCACACTCGCTTTCGCTCTCTCCACTTTCTCCTCTTCGTCTGCTCGGTGCAGCTCTGCCGCTGTTGACCCTGGATTCATCTGTCAGCTTCAGCACGATGAATGTCAGAATTGGCTTCATTTTTCCCCGCTGTCTGCTCCTTCTGTATCTTTTATCAGGTAAGTGATGGCCTTCAGTTTCTGACTTTATCTCTCTTACTTGTTGCTTTACTCTGGATTGTTTACAGCCGTTGTCACAGGTGACATTTCTTTCAGCTTACCTCTGAGAAATCACCAGATTTAACCTCAGGAGTTGAATGAGCAGTCACTTTTAATCAAGATAATGTAACGTTAATATAGTTTTTTGGTTACTATTCATTCATAATGGTGCTAAATATAATTTACACAGTAGAAATAAACTAATGACCCAATCAGACAGAATTTCCTAAAATGGGAATAAAGTTTAAAATAGAATTTGCTATCATATAAAAACTACAATTGAGATTTACGTCTAATATTCTGCTCTGGGGCAGGAGGCTCATGTTCAGAAGCAGAACACAGGCTCTTCTCTGTGATTTTCTCCAACTACAGTCAGTACATACGACCAGTGGAGAACGTGTCTGACCCAGTCATTGTGCAGTTTGAGGTGTCCATGTCACAGCTGGTCAAAGTGGTAAGTGGACAAACACTTTTTTTTGTCTCTTTTGATGATGACATTTGTCATAACTTTTATTTAAGGGACACCACATAAATCACTGCTCAACAACCATGATCAGTAGAAAATAGAGCAAACCAGTCATTAAGATTTTGTTCTCTATGCCTTTAAATCAGTCAGGCGTCAACTTGTGGACTTTTGTAAACACTTTTTTTTTCTTGGGCTGCAGCCCGAGATACATTTTATGCTCCATGTCAAATGAGAGTAGCCCCAACTTATAATCCTGAAGAGGGAGGCTGTGTGTGTCTGCCTGGCCAAGACAAGATGGGAAATGTCAAATGACTGAAAAGCCTTTTTGTGTTTTGTCACATATTTTAAATTAATGTCAGATTTTGCTGGAATTTGTTGAATGACGCTCTCATTTGACTCGACCAGGTCTGGGGCAGGTTTTCTGTATAATACCTTATTAGCTGCTCTGTATCATGAACCAGTCTATCATCATTTACTTTTTAACATACATTATAGTTTGTTCAGACAATAGTAAAACAGGAGACTGAAAAATGAAAATTATTGTCTTATTTTTGTCTATTAGGGATTAATTAAAGCTAAACGATAAAGTACACAAAACCTTTCAGTGCATCTTCAGTGTAAATCTGTTTGGGTGGCAGAATAAGCAATTATGTCAGACCAAGTATATCTGACACAGTCAATTTTGTAAATGAAGCTGGATGAATTCCTCCTTAAACATCATCATAGTAGCGTTACTATCAGACTTCTTACTTGGTAAAATACTACACTGCTTAGGTGTAAAATTACAGCCACAGGTTGTTGTTTTGTTTTTGTTTTTCCATGAAACATCAGCAAATAAAGTATAGCCTTACATAATGGAGGTCATCCCAGTCTGTTTTTGTGTATGTGTATGTACATACATACATA